TTGATAACTGATGAAAGTTGTAGTATTAATGAATGGTTTTTGTTATTGCATATAGATAGGTGGATGGATAATGAATGGATTTACGATATCAGAGGGCATAATATATGTATGAAAGGGCGAGAAAGAGTGGATAGAAATATGAACAAAATTATGATTTGCTTTACAATTGCATTTCACTGCTTGAAATTCAATTCCATTGGGCGCATTAATGCTCGTTTGGTTCCATGAGCATGGTGATCAGAAATGTTATCTCCTTTAAATGCATTTCTCACTCCATTTAATAATTTTCATTCAGTTTTTTGTTCATAGTGGGCATGACTATAAATAATGATAATGGTTGTGATAGGAAAGGATAGTGGATATGATAATGACAGGGATTAAATTGCTAATGAATGGTGATGAGGATGATAATTTTTGCTTCATGATGATATGTTAACAGCTATTTTACAAATTTTCATTATTTATAAATCGATGACATTATGTTAACTATCACATTCATCTATCCTTTTCTCAGTTTAGCTTATAGTAAATGTACGATGAACAAACGAAACTGTCAGCATCTCACTTTGAGACTAAATTTGAGAAGTAAATTTTATTGAGAAGAGACAAAGGAACTACCTGGTTCCGTTATCTCTTAATATGTCTGAGAAAAGTGGGTTTTTTAAACGATTGATTGATAAGAGTGACAATCATTGTGATTTGAGAGGATTGGAATATCCGTTTCTTTATTTAAATTGTTATTGTATGTACATCCAATCAATTGAGGTTTTCCATTTTTTTCGTATTCTTCAATATTTCGATTTAAAAAACAAATATATTGAATGAATGATTCATTTAGTAAGATAGTATGAATTGAAAGGCATCAGTCATTAGGAATTGGCATGAAATTAATGAAAGTTGTAAGTACAGGTGACATTTAATGGACCATAGATTGTCGAAAAATAGATCACTGTGGAAAAATCAAAAAATTTTTTAAATGTCTTTTAAAAGATTACAGAGCGGAATGTTCATTGAATTTCAATACATTTCTTCCTTTATTGAATTGCGTTTTTTTTCCTGATCTTGAACAACAACATTACTGCAGTGATAGCTATTAGGGAAAGATATTCTCTCAAACTTTTGTTAACCTGCATTTTTTTATCAGCTACAAATTTGGATTAATAATTTAATCAATCACTGTTAAATTGATAAATTGTATATTTGTTGTTCATAAATTTTTATTCAAAGAAACAATAATATCATTTCTTCTACAGAAATATCTTCTATCTGTGCATTGTTATTGCTAAGTAATTTTAGGGTAGCTAACTGGAAGAGTAAACATGAAAGTGTGATTCTTCCATCAATCGAGTAAGTCAGTCAAGCAACAATGTTTAGTAGCAGTTATTTCTTGGAAAAATTTCTCATTACCGCTTGTTTATGCGCCCATCTGTCTCTTTCCCACCCCACCTCCTTCTTCCCCTCATCACGTCCTCTCTCTCTCTCTCCCTTTCTCTCCCTCTCTCATCGTTGTTGAATTCCTCTTCCTCTTTTTTATATCAAATAATAATAGTAACAATAAAATAATTTAGCAAGTTTAGTGCAAATTCTATCTTCCTTTATTCGGCATAATTATTGCACTTATTATTTCACTTAGTTCCCTTTTCGATTTCATTTTCAAACGTAGAAATTATTTATTTTCCATTTTGGAAATAAACATCGCTCATCAAATGATTCATAACTTCACTTGATATAAAAAAAATGCCCATTTTTCATTTCTTTTTTACGATGTTTGCAAACAACAAAAAAAACACAATCAAATCGTTTTAATGTATTTTTACTTAACATTTTACCAACACCCTCCAATTAACAATGAGGCATATTTCACTCATTTTACATTCCATCAATTCCGCTCTCAAAATGCATTTTCGATTTTGTTGTGAACCATTAGGTTGAAAAGATATCGGAAATATTAATAAATGTTATTAGTTGGTGTATTTGCGGAAATCAGGATAATCTTAGCAGCTATAATGCTATGGATATGTGCATGCTTTTCCTTCTTTTCTTTTTTGATTAAAAAGTGCGTTTCTAAACGTAAACAGACGTTTATTACACACCGTTTGCACTCATCTCCCGAAATTGGAGAATCGGAAGTGCGTGTAATATTATGTCCCGAGTGTTGTCGGCCATCAATTCATAAAGCTGTTATAATATGATCAATCGGTTATCCCAGTCGAGAGTAGTGTTGCCGTTCACTTCGTTAGCAACTGGCAGGAATATTATACTACCACGCAAAACACACATACACATACACATATACACATATATGCACACACACAACACACACACACACACACACACATACACACACATACACATACAGACATACACACACACACATACATACGTACAATTGTTGTACACACACATCGGAGGTAAGAGAATGAAAGATACACGCGAGGCGGAGAAATACGTGAAGCACATCTTGTCCCTGAAGATGAAGGAAGGATGATCGATTCTCAGAGAGACTCTGTAAGCTAGCAGCTTTTCCTATTTTCCCAGCCGGCTATCCGTCAATTTTTGAATTTCTTTCTGCTCATGTATAGTTTGCTCTGCAACGGAAACTATCGATGTTTCCAATGGAGATTTTTTTTATAGGCCTTAATCCAAAATTCATCATTCTATTTATTTGATCCGACTATAATTCCGCTAATACTCAGGATCAAATATACTATTGAAAATTTGCTACATAACAACGCAAATAATCCATCCATCCATCCATTTATCCTAAAACTTTTATTCTTCATATTTGATATTGCTTCTTTCTGCAAATATAAGTCACTTCTGCACATATATACATATAAATAAATATATTTATATGTTTTATATATATAAATTAATACTCATTACTGAAATATTACGAATTGTTTGATATGTCGAATATGAAGGCTGATAGTGATGGTAATAGTAATAATAGCAATAAAGGATCATTATCATCATTACCGCCCCTAATATCATCATCTTCATCGAAGCAGCAGTCCACTGATGCTAATGTAATCACTCCATCTGCAACCGATGAAACATCACAATGTGCTCCATTGGCGGAACCTGAACAAATTGATCATCATAATCTGAAACATCGTGGAAGCATTTGGGATACATACACTGAAATGAGTGATGTCACGGAGCGAAAACGAAGAATGACCCGTCATTTCGACAGTACCGATGAAACACAACAACATCTAGCTGGCCTTGGTAAGAAATCTTTCATTATCATTCAATATAATATTTCTTCTCATTCATGATGATAAATCATATTGATAATGAAATGATAAGTCATTAATTTGAAAATTTGAAATTTTAAGGTCATTCTTTAATTCTATTCTTTAAGAAATAATATATGATATGAGAGACGCATAATCACTCAGTCGCTATTTAACGCTAAATCACATATACGATATATAATTCTTGACCTCTGAAGGACATATTTCAATGAGAAAATTAAAATTAAAATTGATTGAGAGAAAATTGCTGAAAAAAACTAAACATATTATTATTATTATTTTATTACTGAGAAAAATTTTGCAATAAGAATTGCATAAATTTATTGAGGAGATAAAAAAAATTTTCCCAAATTACTCATTTTGAATTTAATTCATTGTGTTTTTTTCATCAAAGTGATTTTTGAAATATTTCAAAATAAAATGCTGGTTTTATTATTTAAATTAATGTATATTCATTCTTCTAAGAGATTATTTTTATCTCCAAGAAATTCTCATTCAGGCACACAAAAGATTTCATTGTTTGAAATGAGAAAAATTTTTTTATTTAAAATATCTTTCGAGAAATAAAACGTTTAAGAAAGAATCAAACTTTTTATATAATAATGTAAGAATTACTTTTCTATTTACTTTTGAAATCTTCAAAATTAAAAAAAAGTGGATTGACAAATTGTAAAATATATATATCTCATCTTCTCAACTTTAACATGACCAATGCTGCTCATGTTTCTTTATTAATCCTTCTTATAATCTTAAAATTAATGAGGTTAATTACGAATCAAATTTATAATAAATTAAACAATGATATTGTTAGTATTTGGCTCAAAAAATTTTATTTCAGCGCCTGGCGCACGAGTGATGTTTTTGCTTAAAGAACAGGATGAATTGCCAGCATTATTTACGGAAATGGGTGAATTAACACGTTCCGGAACGATTGAAGAATGGCGTGAAACAGCCAGATGGGTGAAATTTGAAGAAGATGTTGAGGAAGGTGGCAATCGTTGGTCAAAGCCACATGTGGCTACTCTCTCATTGCATTCGCTTTTTCAATTACGTTCTTGTTTGATGAACGGTGTTATCATTATGGATTCTGAAGTGAAAGAATTTTCAGAACTTATTGGTCAGTTTATATTAACAATATCTTCGTTTCGAATATATTGTTAATATGTTTTATACATCTGAAGAATTTTGTCTCATTTTCATTTATTAATGAAAAGTGTAACTCCACACTTCAAATATACCATCAATTTATTCTCGTTGCAATTCTTTTCAATGGACAAATTAAAAAAAAAATATTTTAGGAAGTGAGCTTTTTTTCAGAAGAGATTCTGGAACATTTAGTGGCGGCCAGGCAGCTAGGAGAGGCAGAAGTTGATGAAGTTCGTAATGTTCTTTCAAAACGACATACTCATCAATATGAACAGGTAATTAACCTTTATTTCCTTGTTTAAATTTATTAAATACATCCAGTCTACTTAATTTTTCTGTCACTTTTTACTTTCATTGATTTTCAACTAATATATCAATATATTATCTTTTATAGCCATAAACTCATTCCTTCGCTATTACATGAGTAATAAACAGCCTAGATGCTGCTTATTATTATCGATTATTCAATTAACATTCTTTTCCTCTCTTCCTAGGTCAGAAATTGTTTTATATGATAAATTATATTGTTGTTTGCACTTTAAGCAATACACTTCTTTTTTTTAAGTAATACATTTCCTTAGCACTTTCTCTATTTATCATTTTAACTTTTTTCAAATTAAATCTAAATTTAAGCTTTATAAACCTTAATAATAAAACGTTTCAAATTTCATACTCTTCAATTTAATCTTAGATTCTCCACTTCCTGGATTTGTCCAATTATTTGTTTATCTGTAGATTTGGTTTCTTATGGATTTAGAAAACCAAAAATTATTTGGTCATTCTTATTCGAAATTCTGCAGTATTTATAAATCAAAATGAAGACAAATAGTGCCAAATTTCTTATATTAAAGAATTTTAAAATTGAAAGAGATTAGAAGTTAAACCTTGCAATTAAGGCACGTGGAGCAGGAAATGGTAATGGTGCCTCGCAAAGTGGTTTCCTGAATGCAGTGCGCTCAATATCCGACATTGGTAAGACATTTTCACATGGACGAAATCTGGGAAAGTTACCGGAGGATACAGTAAATGAAGGTACTGAAATATCGCCAAAGACGCCAACTTTAAAATTGCCAGAAGTAATTCTTTGTTTCTTTTTTTCAAATTTGGCATAAATAAATTTATTTCACCGAGGGAGACTTCTCGGATTGATCATTATTTTCAACCATTGAATAAAGTCATTCAACATTTTATGCTTCAGCTCATCTAAGAATATTTAGAATGATGTGACTGAGAAGGGACAAGGGGATAATTTGTAAAAATACATTTCTTCTGTCTAAATCAGTCAAAAGATCAAAATTCTTTGATTACTACAATTTTTCATTTAGATCTATTTTATTACACTTTTTTTAAAAACAAATTAACTCTCTTACATTTATTATTTAATCTAGTTTCTGTTTTTTTTGACTTTTTATTTAATCTCAATTTTATATACTTTATGAACAAATTTTATAGATATCTAAGATTTATATATCACTTTTGTTCTCTCTGAAATTTTTGCCATTTTTAATTGTTTCTAAAAATTAGTATCTTCGAATTGTTTGAATTTTACTTCGTTTTGAGTAATATTTGCCGGGAAATATTTTAGTTCAGCATTGTTAGATCTTAATTTCATAATGGAATAAGTAATCTACATTTGTAAGACATTGCATTTATGCGTAATGAATCTTTGAGGTTATTGTATTAGAAGGCATAAGATCCGAATGTTTATTTTCATAGAGATTTTAAAATACTTCAGAAATTTAGATTTTTTTGATTTCATTTGATAATATTGGTCTCGTTTATGCACCCAATAGATGCGAATAATTCCATTATTTCATTGATTCATTCTACGTGAAAACGTGACCTTTCTTTTCTGCTTAGCTAATGTTTTACATTTGACAAATAAGAAAAAGAAGTGTAAAAAGATAAGGATTCAATGTTTGGCAAAAAGTTTGCAGTAGATGAAAAATTTTGTCGTTTTTAGTTATTTGAATACTAGTATTCTCTCATTCTTATTTAAATTTTAGTCCTATGCAACATTTCCAACAACACCTATTGTTTAGTTGAATTTATTTCAAAATTTCTAATTTCCAAATGTTCATATTTCCTTCTTATTCATGAGCTCTAGCGGTGTATGAGATGGATGATTGAGTATAGAAGTCGAAGTTGATGTAAGCAACTGGCAGTATCCGAATGAGGTAACTAACTGAATTTAGGCATGAGCATAAAATTTGTTTCAAAAATGCTTCCATGCATGTAATGTGTTTGTGTAAAAATGGGAAGTGAGAAATAGAGAGAAAAGAGAGGAAGAGGAAAAGAAAACCAGGAACATATCACTTATCATCATTAAGTTTTACAAAAATTGGTAAAATTGTGATGTGAACATTACTGAAATATTAAGTTTATATCATCTGGAAATATATCATTTTTTAAAAGTTTTCGTGTAAATTGCTTTCGGAAATAGGGTCATTTTCATATTCTGACTTTTGATTTGAGAAGGAGAAATTTTATTATTTATTCTTTGAACTTTACTTATTTTGATCAAAAAATGATTGTTCAATGTTTTATCAAACTGATAAAATTTTTATGAATTTAATAAAACACAGAGAACCTGTTTTTTAAATCGAAATAAAAGAAGCTTAGGAAGATTGAGATGGAGCATAAAAATTATTGTTGATTTACTCTTCAAAGCGAATAAATAATATATAACATTATTATTTATTACATAAGAATGTTAAGAACACGAAAAAAGAAGTCCGAGGAAATTTTTTGGTGAATTTAATTATGTGCATAGATGAACTTCTCGTTGACACCAGACTGTTAGGCTAATATTTTATTAGGCCTAAGTTGTGCTGACAAACATGTTAGGCAAAAGGCGATGAAGAAGTAAAGAAGCATGCTGATTTATAAAGCATGTGCTTGAGATCTCTATGATGTTTCTATTTTCGCATTATTTATTTCGTGTACCAAAATTTAAATGAAATGCATCTGAATATTATATACGACGCTGTCAAGTAATCATTTTAAAATTCATTCAGTTAGAAGTTAAAGAAGGAAAGGAAGTATTGAGAAGTGAAATGTTTACTCACACTATTACTATCATTGTAATCCTATAAAATGAGCATGAGACTCTCATCCGTCTAGTTGTTGTTGTCATTTGATTGAGAACCGGAAAAATTAATAGCAATAAAACTTTGACACATCTTTACTTCTCACAAACAGATTGATTCATTTTCTTCATGTAATGGAGAATATGCTTAGAGAAAATCGAACATTTCCAGTTAAATATATATTAGATATTAAAATGATTAATGTCGTAAACATAATGGCTTAATGAATAAATTATTTAAAATAAGCTCGAGTGATGCATATTTGTGTAGAAGAATTTCGCTTTGAAATGACAACATTTTCAAACATTTGTCAACAGTAAATTAAATTGGAATTGAAATTTTTTTTGGTAATGAATAAGATAATGAGGGTTTGTGATGAATTCTGCATAATTCTCTTCGTCACATATCATTTCAGATGATAATCTGTTTTTTAAAATTATTCACAATTCAAAATTTTATTGAAAGGATCACTGAAATTTTGATTGGAATTTTAAGAGTGGAAGTTTTTTGACTAAATGACTGAAAAGTGATTACATTAGCTATGTTGAAAATCAACTTTTAGAAAAGAGATTAATTTTAATAATTAAAAATGGGTCAAATTTCGCGAATGTTTTTGATCTCATTCGAACTCAGTTGAAAGACGCTGCTTTTCATCTTTCCAGAATTTTATGACAAGTAAAAATTGATTTTGTAACAATTAGTACGGAAGATGGGTCAAATTATAGAAAGTGAATTCATTGATACATTCCTGTTGATTTATACTCAATAGTTATTCGTATTTTAGGTGAAATCAGCGCCGAAAGAGATGACACGTGAGGGATCTCATGCCGATGTAAAAGGAAATCTTCATTTCATGAAAAAATTACCGTCAGGAACGGAAGCATCAAATGTATTGATCGGTGAAGTGGATTTTTTGACTCAATATATCACCGCTTTTGTCCGATTAAAAACTGCCGTAACTCTCGGTGATCTTACTGAAGTAAATTTTTCTTTTTTTATAACCAAAAATTTTCCAATTTCCTGCAATTTAGTTATCGTTTTAAAATTTAGCATTTACTTATTTGTCCATTTTTCGCTATTATTTTTTCTCCATTCAGTTACAAATAAGTCAGCAGCTCTCTTTCTAAAAGTTTATTCTTTTACTTTTTATTTCAGGTGCCGGTTCCAACGCGATTTTTTTTCGTTCTGTTAGGTCCCACTGGAAATGTTGCGCAATATCGAGAAATTGGACGTGCAATTGCTACACTTATGTCTGATGAGGTATGAAAATTCTTAAATTTTTACAAATTTTGATACAGTTTTAATCTACAATTAATTTAAAAAATTCTATTTATTACTTAAATATGAGGAATAGAATGCAATTCAGTTCAATAAATTATTATTCGAAGGTGCATGTACAACTTCTCTATATTAATATGATGAATTGAAAAATTTGTTTCCATTTCGTACAGTGCAGCTTTTTCAGATATTCCATGATGTCGCATATAAAGCTCGGAATAGTGATGATCTTTTGGATGGTGTTGACGAATTTTTAGATCAGGTCGCTTCTTCCTGTATTTACTTAATCTGTCATTCAACATTTTCTTAACTTTCAAATCGTGATCTTGAATAGTACCCTCAATGGTACAATATAGCATTAACTTCATTTCAGGTCAAACTAGTAAGGTTGTTTATGCAATTATTTTTTTTAGGTAACAGTATTGCCACCCGGTGAATGGGATCCAAACATTAGAATTGAGCCACCAAATAAGGTACCATCACAGGATAAACGAAAGCTTGGTGATGAATTATTGCTCACCAAACTTCCTGCTCCGAAAAAGGTAATAATTTTAATTTTATGAAAATGAGAAACTTTTATCAATTTCAAAGCTTCCGGTCAATTTTCGAAAAAAATTAATTAAATAAAACAATTGATTTTAGAAATGCGAATGATAAGAAATTTAAGAAATTCATCTCTGCAAGTGTTGAAATGATGCTAGAATATGTGAAACAATTATTCAGATACTGTAAGGAATATAATTGCAGGAAATGGAGGAGGAAGATTCGCATGCTAATGATCCAGCCTTAAAACGTACTGGTCATCTATTTGGTGGTTTAATAATGGATATAAAACGGAAAATTCCTTGGTATTTATCTGATTTTACCGACTCATTAAATTTGCAATGTGTTGCAACATTTTGTTTTATGTATTTTGCATTACTTGCACCTATTGTTACCTTTGGAGGATTGCTCGAAGAAGCAACACATCAGAGAATGGTAAGATTTTGTTAAGATTTTAATTTTTTTGTTTTTAAATCCAAAATTCACGTGTATCTACTGGTACTAATAAATCATTCTATTTTTGGCAATTTTAAAAAGATCCATAATATTATTATGATGCATAATATTCAAATGTTCATTAATAAATTTATTAGAAACTCGTAATAGAATGAATAATGAGAAAGTTCGTTAGTTAAATTTACCTGAAGAGATAAGCGCAGTAAAGCCTTTTAAAATTTCTTATTATTGCTACAGCAAATGCTAAGGATAGCCTAGTGAATTGATTTTATCACATTTATGAATTTTTTTTTTTCAGGCAGCAATGGAAAACTTATTTGGTGGTGCAATCTGCGGTGTTATTTATCATTTGTTCAGTGGTCAACCTCTTACAATAATTGGTTCCACAGGACCAGTTCTAGTGTTTGAGACTATTGTGTTCGATTTGTGTGCTAGTTTGAATATTGACTACCTCTCATTTCGTTTTTGGATTCATGTTTGGACTGCCTTCATCTTATTCATAATGGTCATTACGGATGCTAGCGCTCTGGTTTCTTTTTATATTTGAATTCGTTGTTTTTCTTTTTCTTTTTTCAGTGCAAACTGCAATTAACATTAAGTAGTAATTTTAAAGCAATTTTAAATTTATTTTCAGGTATCATACATAACACGTTTTACAGAAGAATCATTTGCAACTTTAATAGCTATTATTTTTATCTACGAAGCGATAATGAAACTTGTTAAGATCACAACACAACTCGATGTAGTTGAGTATAGTAAGACGGTGAGATATTTTTCTCTTTTTTTTCCGGAATTTCATTTGTCTAAATGTTGAGTCTTTTTCTTGTTTATCAGATTTTTTATGTTAGGCATAATATTTCAGAATCCAAATGCGATATGCCGATGTGTTGGTAAAGATATTCCTATAGTGAAAGCATTAGGTGTTATCGATAAAAACAACTGGAAAGATATTGTTCATAACAATACTTTTATCGATTATTCCCAGGTAAATATCTTACAAAATCAAATTATATTAAGTCATGTTGTATTGTGAAAAGAACCTCTCTCATTGAGAGCGGACTGTTTTATTTCTTAGATTTAATACTGTAATATAAATTTACGGTTTTTTTAAATGAATTCTGTTTTTTGAACAGCATTCAGATTTCTTTCACTTTTGCTCCGTTAAAACAATACATACTGATTCCTCAGAGTTATAAGTAATAAGATTCATAGAGCAATGAAAAGATATTATTTGATAACTTAATTTTCCTTTATTGGGTCTGTTCTCTAATATTACTCAAATATAGGTTAGTTTTGATCGATGCAGAAAATTGTATGGTACGTTAGAAGGAGATGGATGTTTCGTACTTTATGATAAATTTTTGATGTCTTTGGTACTGATGATGGGTACATTTACATTGGCAACTCTCTTTAAGGTATTTTTATTTTACCTCATAATTCTTTCTTTTCAAAAAGTTTTTGAGAAACAAAGGGAAAAGAGGAAGAAATAAGTAAGGGAGTAATTTCCTTACGCAAGTAATACATTCGATCACGTCACGTAATAATGTTGCATTATATTCATTGCACGTCAAATATTTCGTTAAATAGCACAATTTATATATTTTTAACTAATGAAATGATTTTATTTTCTTAAAAACTGTGCTGAAACTTAGGTAAATCTTGGAAATTGAATATCACAGATTTGAATTATAACATTAAACTTTAAACAAGAGCGAAATATTTGAACGATAATTGCGTCTATCAGTAACATCGACTATTGCTTCTCCGTTGCACTTCACAATTAGATGAAAGATTTCTCCTAACTTTATTTCATTTTAATAGAAATATCATTCAAATTAGAGACAAAAAATGATTTCGGACAATTAATTAATGTGAATAAATGAATACATTTCTTTGCATTATTTAAAAGGCTAAGAAGGTTATGACTCATTATTAATTAGCCCACATTTCTATGATGAAATCCTTAAATTGCTAGACTGAAACCTTCAAATTTATTCTAAACAC